GACAGACAGACCGCCCCCCCCCGCCGCCCGTCACTCCAGACGGACGGACGGACGGACAGACCCCGCTCCTCACCCGCCGCCCTCCTCCCAGCCACCGTAGCACCAGCCCGCCCCTCCCCGCTCCCTCACTTCCGGCACGCCCCCGGAGCGACGTCACGCCGGCACCCTCCCTCCCCTCCCCGGGCCCCGCCCTCTCTCTTAAAGGCACCGCCCACCCCTCCCCGCTCTTAAAGGGGCCGCGCGGTATCACGGCGCCGCCGCCGCCCACAGGGAAGAGGCGGGTTCGCGGAGCACCGGGGAACACCGAGGGGGGTTTATTGGGGACGGCAGCGGTGGGGCACGGGTCTGGGCAGGGAACCCAGACCCGCGGTCGTGGTGCCGGTGGGACCGGAGGCCGCTCTCACTTGCTCTTCTCCGCTTCCAGCGCCAGGTTCATGGCTGCTCCGGAGGCTGTGGGAAACACGGGAATGGCCTTACGGTCTGTCCCTGGAGACGTGGACACCCAGCCGGTGGCCCTCGGGGACGAGCCCATCCTGGCCGTGCATCACCGACCCGTTCCCCACGACGCCCGGCATCACCGACCCGTTCCCCACGACGCCCGGCGTCACCGTCCCGTTCCCCACGATGCCCGACATCGCCGTCCCATTCCCTCCCACTGCAGCACCGGGCTGGCAGCCAGCTCCTGCCTTCCCTGAGGCCGGCGGGCAGCTGCCCTCCCTGCCTGCACCCGCGAAAAGGGAGGCTTCGAACGGGAACCCCAAGTCGACGCCAGCGCCGAGGAACGCGCGGACACGGCGGGGCCGAGGGAGGACGCGGGATCTGGCTACGGAGAAGCGGGAGGGAAAGCGTCTGCTCTACCCACGCCGAGGGAGAAAGGGACGGTTGCGCGCGAGCCACGCCGGCGTCTGCGAGAGCAGGAGCTCGGTTTGGCCGGCGCCGCCGTGGCCGCAGCCGTCCGCCGGATCCGGCCAAGCGGCTGGCGGTAGCGGCGAGGCGATGGGCACGGAAGGGCCCTTTCTCCCTTCGGCGGCAGCAGGAACCGCGGCTCTTTACATACAGACAGGCTGAGCTGCGGTGCCACCTCGGCCGCCAGCCGGGCTCTGCTGCTGACCAGAGTCTGCAGGACTGGACCGCCAGGCGCAAAGAGAAAAAGAGAGAATTACAGAGAGGGGAGAGAGAAGCCCCCCACCCCGCTCGGCTCCTGCCACCACGGGGAGGGACATGGCTGCGGCTGCGAGAGCACGGCCCGCCGTCACAGAGAGATGGCCGCTTGCTGGTGATTAAAACGAGAGCTGCCCACGTCCCAGTGGAGCCGGGCCGTGTTCCGGGGAAAACTGCCTGCCCCGGACACGGAGCAGGATGGCGGGGACCGGGGGACCCGCGTTACCTTCTCGGGTGACGCTGGAAGCCACGTCCAGAGCTTTGGTGCTGAGGTTGCCCAGCACGTTGTCCACGGTCTGGTGGTGCCTGAGGAAGCAGGGCCGGATAACGTTCTGGTAGATCACCTGCGACCCGTTCCAGGACACGGGAGCCATGCACCACACCAGGAACAGGCACTGCGGGGAGGAGAGATGCTCCAGAGCTAGAAGATGGTGGGGCAGGGCAGGGGCTGAGCGAGGCAGCCCCCCAGAAGTGGGGCAGTGACAGGGCAGCAGCTGAGCTGCTCCGGTCCCCCCCAGCCTGGTCCGAAGGCAGCTTCCCGAGGCCGGAGCTCGCTGGAGGCATCAGAACCTCAGGGAGCTCCGCGCTGGTCTGCGGCCCCACCACTGCCACCATCCCTGCCCTGCTAACAGGGCAGAGCCCAGCACGCTTGGTTCCTCCGAGTTCTGCCATCGGGCGAGAGGACTCTGGCCCCGGCAAAGCCGTTACCTTCCCAACGTAGTAGAAGGGGAACCAGTAGAGGAAGATGTCGGAGAAGAACTCGGCTACACTGAAGATGCCGTACACCACCCAGTACGTCAGCCACGTGGTGTCGTCCTCTTTGCTGGAGCTTTCGATGGCTTTGATGCTGCGGCAGGAGAGGGGAAGGGCACTGCTGCTGCGGTCCTGCTGCCAGGGTGGGCACCTCCTTCCCAAGTCCTCCAAACCCTGGAGCAAACCTGCCTACCGGGTCCTGCTGCCCCAAGCTGGGACCATGCCAGGTCCCAGCATTTTCAGGAAGGTCTCAAGAGCTTCCCAACCATAACTGCCTGTTCATGTACCAGGGAGACTCTCATCTAAGGGCAGGGAATGCTCTCCAGATGCTGCAGGGAGGCTGGGCTGGGACACTGGTACTTACGAGACGTACGCAGGGTAGGCGAAGCCGATGAGGTTGCAGAGCAGCGAGGCACCATAGCCGAACATGAGGTACAGCCCCAGGAACGCCGCAGAACCTGCCGGGGAGGACACAGAAAGGACAGTCGTGTAGCTGCCGACACTGAGACGGCGAGGAGAGACCCCGGCTCAGTCTGCTGAGCAGGATTCTCATCCCAGTAGCGAGAAGAGGCACATGCCAGGACGCTCCAGTTGGGAATAACAACCACCCCCAATTAAATCCAGTATGACCCTCCGCACACCAGACCACTGAGGTGCTCAACACGCCACTTGCGCAGCCGCACTGAGCCACAGCACATGGCAGAGTCTGCTGTGGAGTGCAGGTGCTCGCTCATCCCCAAGGGAGCCACGACCTGGACCTGTCACGGTTTGTCTCCTCCCTGGCCTGGAAGGGACTTTACCACAACAAACTCGCCGCGCTTTCAACCCATCGCCAGCCTGGACCCGGGCCAAGGCTGCAGAGTCATCGGAAGCAGAGACTTGAACACGCACGTACAGTCCAAAGTCAAGGCACCGAGCTTTTCCTCTGCGCCTGGGGCTCAGAGCCACTTGGCGTTTTGATAATGACTGTTCAAGGACAAGCCTTGCTACTGAGCCAAGTGCCCAGCAGCAGCCTTGCTGCCAAAGCCTGCGTCTCCCTTCTGCTCCCTGTACACATCTCCTGCATGTGCTTGTGCTGAGCAGCCACTGTGCGTTAAGGATTCAGCCCCCTGAGAACCAGCAATCCAATCCCGCTTCCCTGTTATTAAATTAGATCATTAAAATTAAATGTAAGCCAAGGCTTTGGTCGTTTGGAGCCTGCCCAGCCCTCAGACGCTTGCAGGAGTTGGGAGAGCCGGCGGATGGGGGAAGCCGGGGCAAGGAGCCCTTGCTGCCAAAACCACGGCCACAGCGAAGAGCCCTCGCTCCCGCGTGGGCTCGGAGGGCCCAGAGATGCCAGCACCCAGCAGCTCCCTCCCAACCTGCCCAAGGCAGCTGAAACACAGACCCCGAAGGGGCAGAGGGCAGGGAAGCAGCCTGGGGACACGCAGAACCGGAGTCGAGGGCATTTACTGTCAGAGCCCAGCAGCGTCTCCCCTAACCCTGCGTACAAACTCCTCCGTCGATGTAAGCGCCTTGCCCTGCAGCGGGTAGGAAAGCCAGGACTTAACCTGTCTGCGCTGGTGAATTAGAGAAAAGCCCTTGCTCGGGCTCAGAGGATGGATTATCCCGGCTCTGCTCACTGCAGCATTTCTGCCCCCGGTGTGAGGCAGCCGCAGCTCCGAGCATGAACGGGGCTTTGGGTCTTTCCCAGGAGATGGGCAAGAGCAATGCGGCTTTGGAGCAATCATAAACCTCCCTTCAAGGAAAACTAACAGGCAGGTTCAGGCAGCGCTGGGTTTCATTCCTCCAAGAGCCTTAGAAGGGATTTCATGGGCTAAGTTTAGCCCCCAGAGAAATTTATGTAACAGCAAAAAACCAAGTGAAAGGCTTCGCTTACAAAGAAGAGCTGCTGAGGGGGGTGGCTGGAGCCATCCCACGGTGCCTGTCCCATCCCCCCTCACCCCCGAGACCCCCCAGCCCCAGCACAGGAGGGGACATTTGGGAGAACAGTGATCCTTACAACAGCACTTAAAAGAGAGCGAGGCTTTGCCAGTCTGGCAGAGAGGTTTCCCCGGTGAGGAGGCCAAGCAGCTGGTATGACGGCCAGCCCAGCCGGCCCCGTGCCTTGGGAAGGGGACATCGTCCTCCTCCGGGATGATTTTTAATCAGCTGAAGCCACCACACAGCTGACCTGGCTGTGCTGCCCAGAGACCAGGCAAGATGGGCTCCAAACTGCAGCCCGTGGGTTGCTACTGGCTTCAGAGATGCAGAACTGACCTTGCTGGGTTCCAACACAAATTAGAAATTGCTCCAGAGTGAGGGGAGGGAGAAATCAAGTATTTCTAGTTCAGCAGCAGCTTCTCCTTTCCAGGACAGGGACCGAGAACACTGGACCATCGCTCTTTGGTGGAAGAAGCGGTGCCTCCACTCTTCCCCTACCCCCAAAACTCCATCACACCTGAGCACGACCAAAGCCCCGGGGACCATTTTGCTCAGAAAATGCCCAAACACCGCGCACCACATCCAAACACAACACGTGCCTGTTCACAGACCCCTTTCCCCCCTTGGAGCAGGAAAATGAGCCCTGCAGCAGGGAAAGGGCCAGGAAATTGCACCAGGAGGCAAAAGGCAGGGGAAGGGCCCAGTGGGACGTGGGCAACTGGGAAACCCTGAGCCCCTCCTGGGAGGTTTTATATAAAATACCGAATTGCAGAATGCGGACAGGCAAGTTGTAAATTGGCAGAGAGCGGCACAGGGCCGAGGGTCAGAGCTGCAGTGAGGACAGAGGAGAGGATCCACGTCATGCCAGGAGGACGTTCCCTGGGGAGATGCCGGCTGGTTTCTCATTAATGAGCAAACAGGATCTCGTTAACAGCCAGACCTCTGCCCTCCCGCCGGGGAGGAAGGTGAGTCCCACCGGATGAGCAGGACATGGGGAACAGGTGCTCCTGTCCCCAATGCCTGGTCTGACCCGCCATGATTTGGGGGCTCACCGGTCAGGGAGCGGGGATCCCCCCTCCGTCAGGGCCAGGCTTCTCAGGGGTCTTGAGGGTCCGGCAGAGCCCCCCGACACGCAGACCCCCGTGAGCGTGCCTCCCCTCGGGTTGGGGTGTGGGATTTCACGCCTGCCGAAGGTGAGGACCGGCCGGCGTGGCCACCCCCCTGGCCCCCATCCCAAACGGGGGGGGGGGCTCCGCCTGCCCTGCCCGTGCCCCCCCCCCGCAGAGCCCAGAGGCATGGTGAGGGGCTACCGGGGCACCCCAGGAAAGAGAAGGGACCCTGGGAGACCCCCCCTAAAACGGGAGGAGCAGGAAGGGGGCAGGCAGCGGGGGCCGCGCTGGGGTGTGGGGGGGTGAAGGTTGGGGGTGTCCCGGGGAACCGAGGGTCCCGGTCGCACCTGTGGCCAGGTAGAGCCGCCGGACGCCGGTGCGGGCTTCCAGGCGACCCAGTAGGTCGCCCAACGGCCCGGGGCGATCGAGGAGGCGCTGCAGGCGCTGCGGCACCGTGCCCATGGCGGTGATGGCGGCGGCGGCGGCGGCGGCGACCCCGGT